CGAGTCAGAGTTTTTCATCTACTATGTAGATTACCCATAGCCACTGCTTCCTCCTTTTCTGTGTCTTTCCACTTTTATAGTCACCCGAGGACTCATTAGTGCTGCTACCAGAGGATGAGTAAAGGAAGGGAAGGGATATAAAACTTAAAAGGAGTCAATTTTGGTACCTTTAAGTACTTGGGGGAAGAAGTCGCTATCATAAAGCCTGTGGATTATGCAAAGACTTCAATTATTCATAGTGTCTCTGTCAATCTTACCACAGATAATTAAGAGATGACTGTAATCTTCCTTGGAATGCTAAAAGGACTGATGGTTGTAGCAGATACCCATAGTAAATAAGATGAAGTGAGGTATACGCTGTGCTGAAGGAGTCACAAATTCAGAGTCCCAACAAGCAATCAAACAAGCATCAATCTAGTGGACAGTTTTATGAAAATAAACAGAGGCATGGGCAAGAATCACAGCATGTGATATGGGATGACCAAATGTCCACGCAGAGGAATGATACACAGCAACACAGAATGCTGCTCACACACAACACTCCAGTGAATGTGGCTTATGGAAGCCAGACCCCTTGACCATCCATTCAGGACACACTGGGAAAGATAAAAGGGGTAGAAATGCTTGCCAGATGCAAGGAAGGTGGAAGGACATTTGGGGTTGTGGAAATGTGTTGTAGTGTGACTCTGGATACTTGACTGTCTGCACTTGTCAAAATCCCTGGGGCTGTATACAACAAAGAGTATCACTGCTATGTATTAAAAATAATCAACAAGGCATGTTTGTTGGGGAAGCAAATAGGAATATAACTTTAATTAAATATCTTACAAATAACTATCAGCTACACTGAAAGGCTATGGGAAAAAAAAATTAACTAAAACACTGGAAAACAGTGCTCCAACTGGACACTATAGGGCTAAAGGCAACAAGAATTATACATAAATACTGTTCCCTGGTTAGGACAAGAGCATGGACTGGCAATTGTGAAAAACTTTAGGAATATGTTGACACTGAACAAATCAGGAAATATAATTATATATAAGATATATTTAATTACACACATAAGGTAATATAATTATTTTCTGTAATATTTTACATTATGTATGAGTATATATTATATACATTACATTACAAATGATGTATATCATAGCCTTCCCATTGTCTGAGGAAGAAGGTCAAATAAGAGAAGAGGAAAGCCAGAATGAATACTATGGTGTTTGATTAGAATCAGTAGTTTCAGCATAGATGAATGGCAGAGTCAGAAGTAAATATATGGGTGTGCATGCACAAGTTAGTATATAGCAATATCAATATCATCTTTGGCTCCAAGTTCTATCTACAGAGGTGATCTATAGCCAACAGTACCCAGGCAGTGTAATCCTAGAACCAAGATCTTTGTTTTTGTAATAAAAGAAAAAAATCAATTAAGTCATCTTTGAAAAAAAAATGATGATTCCTGGGATGTTCTTGGGAAAAGCAAAATTAATCTGCAGCATCATGCAACCAAAAGAAAAAGGTTCTCAGCAAAAGTGGAAGAGGTTGGAGGGGACCAGCAGTTGTTCTGAAGGAGGCTCAGCAGTCAAAACTGGAATAATTTGAGCAACAATAAATAATGGTAAGACTGGGTTATAATGTGGGATGAACATCACCAGTCTATCTTGATACAAATCACCAGGTAAACAATTGAGTGTGGAGAAAACAAAAGGCTCTACACTAGAGAATAACAGCCACGTGGAACAGACAAGGAGTGAGTGAAGTGGGAAGTCACACTGGGGTACCCCAGTCACAAATCTGCTGACCAAACTCACGGCTGGATGCTAAGACAGATGGGTGAAAGTATGAGGAAAAAATACCTGAACACGCAGACCTCAAGTCTCCCCAAAGGTAATTACTGACCCTAAGGAGAAAAATGGTACTGCAACAGTAAAGGAATTTGTAGGGCACCCTTTAGTGAAATAAGGTTAGCACAACCAGTTACAATACATGTCAACATCAGTGTGTCTCCATACCCTGAGAAACGTCCATTGCCTCTGCAGGATTCTGACTCCAAAATAGATCAGCTCATTCTAATTATGATTAATCATTAGATAAACCCAAATTGAAGTATGTTCTACAAAATAAAGAGCCACTACTCTTCAAAATGTCAAGGTCATGAAAGATCAGAAAAGACCAGGAAGCTAGCACAGGGTGACAAGAGCAAGGCAATGGATTAGAGACGCTGGTGAAGTCTGAGTACACTCCATAGACTCACCGTAGCGTTGTAGCATCTTTTGTTAGTTTCTTAGTTTGGGTCCTTGCTCCACAGTGATCACACGTTTATGAGAAGGGGAGAAAAGAGAGATGGGAAATAGGGTATTAAAAACTAATGTCAAGGCTGGGCAGTGGTGGTGCACGCCTTTAATCCCAGCATGTGGGAGGCAGAGGCAGGCAGATCTCTGTGACTTTGAGGCCAGCCTGGGCTACAGAGCGAGATCCAGGACAGCCAGGGCTACACAGAGAAACCCTGTTTCGAAAAATCAAAAAAACAAAACAAAGAAACAACAACAACAACAAAAAACAATGTCAGGTGTAAAAGTAAATTAAAAATTAAAACAAACAAAGGAGAAGGCAGCGGAAAATTAGAGACGGCTGAAGGAAATACGTAGTCGTTTTAATTCTGCTTCATATGTTCATAATTGCCTACCTCTCGCTTATCCTCCCTTCTGACTCATTTACTACAGATCTTCCCCAAAGAGGAACGAAAGCGCTGTCTGTCCGTTTGAGAGGCTATGAGAACTACGTCTTTTCTAGCCTACCTGCCTCGCCATATCCACGCCTCTCCCTTGACCCCTTTTAGACGGATGTAAAGGAACAGGAAGTGCCATCCAAGCCAAAGCAATGAAGACAGGAACCTGACACTGATGGTAGGTGGTGGGATGGACACAAGAGTACAGTGAACTGGTAAAGGTGAGAAGCAGAAAAGGCTAAAATGAGAGAATGCAAAACCATTACACAGTGTCTTGTACTCTTCAGACACGGTGACACTTGGTACTCGGAACACAGCCCTTCAAGGAAATTTCTACTTCAGGCCATCTGTAATTAGTAGATCTGTTTTGCATAACTAGATTTTGACTAGTAAGGATTGAAGAAAGGCAAAGCTTAACAGAAGTTGTCATTTTGAAAATTTAATTTCGAGTTTTCTGTATATAATATGCCACAGGCAAATGCACATCCATACATAATTTTTAAATAAGAGGATTGAAGTAGATTGGCATTTTCACTCTAATATCGGCTAAGTTCTATCATCATAGGGTTCTAGGATGTTGCCATTTTTATATGTTAATTATTGGGATCATTTGGTGTAAGAATCAAGCCAATGCTGTTAAGGGATGTAGGATAATATTAAAGTCACTTATTAAGTTAATTACAAAATAGCAATATAAAACAACCGCTGTTATCTTCTCTTTGGCATATGCCTGTTAAAATCAAACTCCATTTACTTAAAAAAAAAAAAATCCAAGAATAACATTAGGCTTCTCCCTCACCATGGAGCTTTGGTTCTTTCTGAATTCAATCCCTCAGACTCAGTGTGCAAGCACAGATCTCACTTAATGTTTTTCGAATGCTCAGGTTCACTGAGGCCAAGCCCGTGACGCTGAGGGAGGGGGACCTGTGTGCCTGTCAATACAGTGCCTATAAATCATAGCCATGTGTTTGACTGCGTCTAAAATTTTTGGAGGTGGCAGGGATTTGAAGCCAAAACCAGAGGTTGGCTGGTGGATTTGTAGTGAACTTGCTGAATTATGGAGCCTTGGAGAACAACCATAGCTCATATGCTTTAAATTCATTACAATTTTTCAATCAGAGTCTATGAGAATCAGCACTTGGACCTTTCTCACTCCTTTCCTTAGGGTACCTCCCCACCCCCATCCCCCTTTTTTTTTTCTCTCAGAAGTATTTTTGTAGCATCTGTTTCATATGAAAGCTTCCTCCTCTCCTCTTCTACCTCTCTTTCCTTTAGGAAGCTAATTGACTCCGGGTAACCAGGTATCCAGTCAGTTCGAGTCTCTTGGTTTGAATTGGGATGCTAGGTCCAGCGGCTTACGCCGGCGGAGGGATATACTGGGCGGAGGGGTACCATGGGTTTCAGCGACTCACACTTCCTGCTTTGGGGCATTCGGAGATCTGCTGTAACCCTGAGTGTGCCCGTGGCCCTTCCTCCCGGAATCCTGGGGGATTTAGATGTCTGCCGCAGGTGTGAACAGTTTTCAGGTGGGAGGAGTAGGGAGGTGATTCAGTAAGGACACATTTTAACTCCAAAATTAGATGACAACGTTGTGATGGCTGGACTTAATAACAAAACTGAATAAAGGAACCCAAAATTCTTAATGGCATTTGTGAACATACAAGAAGCCCCACTGGGCAGCTGGAGTTGTCAGGAGGTAATGACTCTCTCTAGCTCCCTGGGATTCTCCAGTCAGAGGCTCAGAGGCTCTCATTCCCCTGCACACAGGCCTGGGGATCCCTTCCAATTCTCTGTTCCTCCTGCCCACTGCTAGACCTCACTTCTAGAGTCTTCTTCCTCTGACCCAAAACCTAACCATGGCAATTATACCCCATGGTAATATTGTACAGGCTCTTATGATCATGAAAAAGCTCATTAGAAAATATCTAGCCCATTAGTGGTGGCCGCACACCTTTAATCCTAGCACTGGGGACGCGGAGGCAGGAGGATCTCTGTGAGTTCAAGACCAGCCTGGTCAACAAAGTGAGTTCCAGGACAGCCAGGGCTATCCAAAGAAAGCCTGTCTTGAAAAACAAAACAAACAAACAAAAGACGGAGGGCCCATCCGAACTTTAAATCAGAATTTCCAAAGTCAGAGTGCTGATTGGGAATCGGTGTGTTCTGAGAATGCTCAGGGGAAGCATTCACCCAGGTCATTATGGACACGGACTGACCACTCTGTTCTCTGTAAGTTCTAAAATGGTTCCTCTCCTCTTAGCAAACCCCCCTTTTAAACTCCATTGCAACTAAAGCTTGGTTTTTCTGTGGCCTCATGAGAGAGAGCTGTGTTTTCTTCCTGTTACCTGGGACTTTCATTGACTGAGACATCAGTTAGTGATCCATCAACATCAGTGGTCGCCACCATGCTTGATGGATTTGGTAGTATTTGGGCCTGAAGGTTTTTTTCCAGCATTTTCCTGCCTTTAGTTTCCTATTTAAATAGGTTGCTTCTCAATATGATTAGAAAATAAGATAAGAGAAAGCAAAGCCCCCCAGCCCCTCCGCATGCTGGTGGACGCTTCGCACTGTCCTTGGCTCCTGCAGCCCAGTGGGGTTCACTCCCAGACCCTCCTCTACTCCTCCTCTCCTAAATCCTGCCTCTGCTTTAGTTTCTGCTGCCTTAGAACTGCTCAGGGTGATTTTCTTACAACTCCATGCTTTCATGTACATTTCCCTGATTTCGTTTCCAAATGCCCAGTTTTAGGCCATTTTCAAACTGTATGCCCATAGCCCCTTTCTCCACTGGGCACCGGGCACCTCACGTCAGCTGTGACTGCTCCTGCTGGTTTGCCTGGGTCCCCCACCCCTCCTCAGACCTCATCGTTGCCCAGATCGTTCCCATCCTTCCTTGGGTGCAACCCTACCAAGGCTTGGAAGGATGTCAATACTTGCCTCTTGTGTTTGCTTAGCTCCAGTGTTCTCTTCTACCCATTACTTAGTGGGGTGAGGCTGGGCGGGGGCTGTGGCCTCGGCCCGCTTTGATCTGCAGCTGTCTCCGATTATCTGCTGGCCTTCTACATCACTCACCCCTCCAAACGTGGTTTCTCATCTCCAAGTGGAGGTAATTATAGAAAACGTATCAAAGGGCTATGGAAAGTTAAATGAGATAATAGATGGTAACGTTCTTGGGAAAGTGCCCAACCCACAGAGAGTATTCCAGGAGCGGTTATTCCAAATGCCTGGTTTCATTCTGTGACCTTTCCTAACTCTCCTCTTACTGAGGTCACTGGTGACTGCTGTCCTCCATTTTCCAGCTGACTCCTTGGGAAGCTGACACACGGCAAAGTATAGAATCAATATCCTAAATTGCAAACTTGAGAGTCCCCTACTGTTGCCAGGGACTTCTGTCCCCATTCTGTTCTCTCCTCCTTCACTCCTAATTTGTTTCCTCGTCACTCTGAGCAGTCGTAAGCTGCCTGCTCATGCGCGTTTCATCTTGCTGACATGCTCCTCTGGCTTCTTACTGCTTCTGGAAATGAGTGGCCCCGACTCTGGCCTCCTCCCCATGGCCCCCAACACAGTCACACTTCCTGATACACTCCTAATAAGTGAGTGAATGAACTGGCTGTGTCTCCAGGGTACTTGAAGTCAGAACCTTATCTGTGCTCTTCATGTGTTGTTTCACATACTTTGCCCAGTGTGTGTTATAGAAAATTTTTTTTAATACATTTGTGTAAAAAGTTCTGGTTGGGGAAGACAATATTCTAGGGTAATAGTCACCAGTGATGGTGCTTTTCAGCACGGAAAGCCAACCTGGAGCATTCTGTGCGGCTGTGTGAAAGTATCTCTAACTACATTATGGCGTTACCTATGTCAGCATTTACTACTTATCCTTAGTGTAACAGGTCATTAAAATCTTGTGTAACATTGAATTTATCATAAAGATAAAATTATCTGATTATTAAAAACCTGTTAATCATCTATGCTCCATCCCCTTAGCTCATGCATAATGATGTGCACAGCCCTTGAAAAACTAGAAAGCATTCTACTCTGAAAACTTTCTGCTAATTTTCTTCTTTTTGTTACAACCTTAATCTGTCTTTCTATACAAGCTGTCATTCTGGAAGTAATTAATAACATTCTGTCACCTCCCTTGGAGCATTATACAGCCCTTAAAAATAACGACTGTAACAATGTCAAAAATTGGCCATGTTATCATCATATTCTATTGAAACAGAAAATAGGATTTATGTGAAGCTAGCAATGCTGAAGGGAATATAACTAAACTGAAGTTGCCTTATAGTTATGGGATAATGGAGAATAGGTCATCTTTTCTCTTACCTTCCCAAAGTTGCTTATAATATGTCTATATTAATTTAAAAATATCCAGAATATTTAGAAGATGTGCACTAAGTCATTCAATACATAAGAATATTGGAAAAGACTTTAAAAGAGCCCTATCCTTTCCTTTTTCCCTCCGCATTCCTAATATCTTTTCTCTTTTATCTTCATCAATATTCAAAATTATGTCTTAAAAGTCAAAGAACTAGGATAAGAGGAGCCATTTTACCAAAGAAAATATACAAATTCCCAATAAGGATAAGAAACAAAAACCCAAGATTATTAGGCATCAGGGAAATGCAAGTGAAAACCACACCCAGAGAGATAGCACTTCACATGTAATCAGGATGGCTCAGACCCTAAAGTCAGACAAGGCTTCATAAGGATGTAGAGGGAATGGAACTCTAATTCATGCTGGTGGGAAGGTCAAAAGGCACAGATTACAACACCACTCCTGGGTTTCATATCCAACAAAATACAAACATAAATCTATTACAAAAATTGGTGTGCAAATTTACAGTATTATTCATAGCAGTGCCAAAGTGCAGTTATGCCAAATGTGTATCAATTGACAGACAAATATTATATGTATACAGTGGAATATCTGCCAATAAGATGTAGGTGAAATACATATATTGATACAATACACACACACACACACTCACACAATATGCTAAGTGAAAGAAGTCATAAAAGACAACTTGTATATAATTATAGGCATGTAAGATAAACAAAACAAGCATTTATATAGATGCAAGAAGTAGATGGGTTATTCTTTGAGGCTGAGAAGAGAATCAGAGAAAGGAAGGATGACTAAGGGGTCTTTGGTTTGTATGGGATGATGAAATATCCCAAACTGATGATGCCAATGGCTGTACAACTGCAAACACATGAAACTCTGTGGATGTGTATACAGTGTCAAGTGACCACAAGAGCTATGAATTACATCTTACTCATGTGCCCTGCCCACTGAAGGTTGAGCATTTGAGAAGATGATCTGTAGGATAGCCAGAGGAAAACATGTCGAATGCTGATGCTTGGACTCTAGGGTATTTTTCTCCAGAGGCTCACCCTAGAGTGGACAGTCATGTACACAAGTCAGAAAGATCTCCAGGCTCCATTGTTAATGTCCTAAATTTTGTCCCAGCACAGTGAACAGGGAGTAAACACCAAGGCCAATGGCTTGGCATTCTGGAGAGTACGTTTAAAACTTGGCAGAATCTGTACCCATTGTATTTAGTGGATTCAGTGCCCTCGTACAGAATAAGTTTATTTACTTATATCCCATTGTGTAGATGGTGCTGAGAGTGTCATGCTTACCATCCATGAGGCCCTGGGTTCAATCCCTACAACTAGAACAGACAAAACAAAAGATTGACAAGACCGGGGAAGGCAGATTCTGTAACTTCACCAACGTTTCCTGAACAATTCCACGTCAGACATATTAAAACAGAATATTCATTTCCCTCTTAAAACAAAGCCCAGCTACAAGAACAATTGGACAGATACCTGCTTTCTGAGACAAATTCCAGTGATGAGGATGAAGAAGGCTATTGGAACATGGATCTGTGACTAAGGATATCATGGATTTGGTTCGAACAAAAGGTAGTTGCTGACTCTCGAGGCAGCCACACTGCCCCCACAAGTGGCACTGTGGTTGAAATGACAGGCATAAGAAATATGGACTGCAGACCACCCACAGGCAGAAGCAACAAAGCACAACCCACCCACAGGCATAATTATTTTGTAAGTGGCTGACTCCCACACCCAATGCAAACATCACCTTACCACCCACTCCAGCCACAGACTTCAGGAAGTCACCTAGATGACAGAGGCACGGAAAGCACTCTTTCTCGTGAAGCTAAAAGTGCCACTGTCATCTGTCGATACTTTCAGAAATTCATGAGTAACAGCTTAAATTCAGCTTTCAAGTTGCAGCCCCCACCCTCCCAAGCCAACAGCAATTCTCAGTAGGTGTGGGGAGAACAACAGGATGAGACTGCCTCTTCGCGGCAACTGCTGCTTCCTCAAGGTGAGCTCTGCACACAGGGAGAAACTCTTCTCTGGCTTCACCCTTCTCTGCAGCTGCTCTTCCTGTGCCCCAGAATGGCACACATTTCCTGTGCTGGGCCAGGACATGTGTTCACCAAATGACAACAGAACTGAAGAGGCCGTGTCTGTCTGTCTGAAAGTCTCACTGTAGTTGTTCCGTGTAAAGGACCCTGCTATCCTTTTTGATTACATCCTTATATACACAGACACACACAGATACACAGACACACAGACACACACACACCAGCTTGGCCTCTTTGATTATACAAACACACAGACACAGACACAGACATAGACACACACACACCCTAGTTTGTCCTCTTTGATTACATCCTTACACACACATACACACACACACACACACAGACACA